AGGGGAAAGAAGAGTTATCACTGACCTGAACCTCCTGAAGACTGGGCTCCGGTGATCCGCGGGCAGATGGTGGGAAGTGCAAGGAGTACTGACGTGACATTTACACAAGTTGCACCAAATAGTCATTTTTGTCGCCGTTGTTTCCACCTAACGAATAAGCATTGGTTGCAAACGATCAGACATTGCTCGTGCTTTTTTAAAAAGGCAATAAAATGTTCTTTTTTCTTAAGTTTTAAAGAAGTTCTATCGTGAGTATTTAAAGCAGCCCCCTGTGAGGTGAAAAGAAAAGGCGTCTTCATCGCTTACCTCAGCAGACCGAAGATGAGTGTCAGGCACTTGTGACCGTCCCTCCTTTTATAGCCCCAAACCCCACACCTCTCCTCCGACCCAGCCAGTGAGGAAGAGGAAAAGGCTAAATGGGATAATGTTACCTGTTGTGACGCGATGACAAACGACCGAGGCGGGTTATATTTGGTGAAAAGAGCCCTAAAAATAACCCGTCAGACAGGACGCAGAATGAGCGGTGATGAATTAAAGTGCAATCATCAAAAAAAATGTTTGAAACTTTCCTCTTATATGTGCAGACACTGTGGTATTTTAAGAAAACTGCGATTCCCTGGCCAATCAGGACGTCCCCTGGCACCCGGACAAAGTAGTCCTTTTTTGTTGTTTTTGTTGTTGTTTTTTTGAAGGGGAAAAATTGATAATCCATCTTGGAACAGCTTTGAAATTCAGAACATCACACCACACTGTAAAATACTTTTACCTTTTTGTAAATTGTTGGCTATTATTATTTAGTGTTGATCTATTTTCTGTGTTGCAGGAACTCAGACCTGTTAACCGTATAACGTGATTTTTGTCCCCCATAAAGTGCACAAAAACACCGACTGTCGCAAAAATGAGTCGTGTACATTTATATGTAATTTATTTTTATTCATTTTATTCATTTTTACTTTTGTCACACGGTTTAATAAAGGCTTCAGTAAAATAAATACGTTTAAAAAATGGGAACTTTTTTCTGGGAACTTTCATGGTTCGGGCTTTGTAGGGTTAAAAGGAGAACCGACTACAGATGGCGCTCACAGGACAGAAAGATTAAGAACCAGCGGTTGAGTCTGCTGGATTTTACAAACTCACTCCAACATTTGTTGTGAAATGCAGTGGAGTAGAAATTCCGCATTTGATGGTTTTCTGTGCTGCTTTAGAGTATAAAAAAAGTCTTTGGTTAACTTTTATTTCTTTATTTTTTGCTTTCAAGGAATCAGACTGTCTTGTAACTATTATTTATTTATATATCAAGTCATCCTTAATAATTCTTCAGACTTTAGAAATGTTGTCCACGGTTTGTATCGTGGGTTTTCTCACTCATTTTCAGTCCAGTCCTTGTGTCTGAACATTTTCGTTTTCTTTATTTATTTACTCAGCCGATTAACACTGAGGTATGAGTCACTGAAATATAAAAAGAAACACTTAAGAATTTAATATTTGTATTACTGTCACAAAAATGTTGTTCTCATTTCATTGAATATTAAAAAAAAAAAAATCTAAGTTAAAAAAAAATACATTTGTCCACAAACAAGGTGATTCTCAAAAACAAAAGGTATTAATCAAAAATGTGGCACCTCGTGACATGATGTGCTGTCCTTAAAAAAAAAAAAAAAGAAAAAAAAGAGGAAACTAGGGAAATAGAGGACTATCTACAGCAGATGCACGGTTTCTGAAAGTCATGTCTTTAAGAAATTGAGAGAATCCAAAAAAAAGGCCTGAGAGATGCCCTTTAGTTGATCCGTCTACTGTTCACTGAAGCCTCATCAGAAATGGTCTCAGTGGAAGTGTGGCTGTCATGAAGCCGTTCTTAAGGAAGGGAAGCAGGGAGAAAAAGTTGAGGTATGCCAAATTACACAAGAACTGGACTGAAAATGAGTGTTGATGAGTCTTATGCAGTGATGAATCCAAATTTGATTTGTTTCGCTTCTAATGATCATCAGTATGTATGAAGCACAGGAGAACGGTACAACAGTGAGCGTCTCCAGCCATCTATAAAACACACTGCAGGCTCTGAGCTACATTTCAGCCAGTGGTGTTGAAGATCTTGGCAAATTTGATGGAATTATAAACGCAGAAAAGTAGTCAGATTTTGATCCAACATGCAACACAATATAAAAGTGTCTAATTGGTATCGGCTTTATTTTTCAGCACGACAATGACCCCAAACACACTGCCAACACAGTGAAAGCTCACCTGGATAAAAAACAAAATTAAGCAGAATCAGCCGTGGATTGGCCTCCCCAGAGCCCGGACCTGAACATTATTGAAGCACTGTGGCATCATCTTGACAGAGAACAGAACAAAAGGCAGCCAACATCCAAAGAAATCTTGCTTGTGTTGAAGAACAAAGGTGACCATACTAAATATTGACTTGTTAAAATTATACAGACTGTGTGTGCGCATCATATACAGTATTTTTGTGTCTCCGCATCTCAAATCGTTGCATCCATTTCCCATTTTTCCAACCGCAGTCTAAATGGGGACTGGCTTAAGACTTTTGCACAAAGGCACAAGCCATTCAAACCAGAAGCAGAAAACCAGTTTGGTGCATCATTGTTTAATCTGTGAACAGACTTGTGAGGAAGTGAGTTATGGCAGCCTTCAAAGGGCTTTGACTGCGTGCATATTAGTCACTCAATTAAACCCCTGCTGGAAGGGAACTAAGCTACAGGTCTACAAATATGACGCACTGAGTCTCAGCGGCTCACACAAAATTAGTTCTTTAAGCAGATGAGTAGATTACGGGCATCACAAAACATGACTAAAGCATACTAGAAACTTAGAAGTCTACCAAATTCTCACACTCATCTAAGACGAGAGTGATGGCAAGTGATGCCTGCATACGAAACTGCTGATTAGTTTGCACGTTTATTCGTGTTCATTAGTGAAATTACTACTTTTGTTTCTCTTTGGGTGTATTTAAACAGCTATGCCTCCTATCCTCTAAGGACTCATGCTCCTTGAATCCCTCTATTCTCAAATCCCCAATTTAGTCGCCTTTTACCAGAGAACTAGAACTTGAGTGAGCGAACGGGACATCGATATGGGAGGGACAAGACAAAACAAATCACTCTGAACAAATCCTCAGTCCAATTCTCAAGGGCCAGTGGGACCGTCTGAGTCCTGAGGGGAAATTAGAGCGTAATTTGGCTGAGTGTCTCCTTGCATTAGCGCCTGCGTCACAGCTCGAAGCAGGCTCCAGGGCCAGACAAAGGGGACCCAGCGAAGCACTGCTTCCTGTGTGCAGTGGGACCAGGCGGGACAGGGTGTCTCTGCTGCCTCACTTTAAGCTGACCCTCCGTCTGTGGCGTGCACTTAACACTGAAGATAACACTGGCTTTATAGCAGGGGGCTGGTGACAGACAGGAACAGACTGCCAGGACACCACTGGTAGCAGGGGCAGAGCTTGGTGCTGAGGCTCAGTGCAAGATGCTCATTTTATGGAAACCAAAAAAGCAACCACACACAATCCATTAGTCTGCAGACTGGTGCAGGGGGAGCGGGTTAGGCGGTAACCCAGTCGAGTAGACGGTGAGGGGTCTCAGACAGGCTGGCTGGGGTAGATGTGGATGGTTTTTAAGCAGGAAACAGAAAATATAGAAGTGGAGGCTTCAAAGTCCTGCTAACTATTAAGTACCATATACAGTAGCTCAAAGGGGAGTTATCAGTCTGTAGAGCAAAGAGGTGGAACCTGGACACACATGGCTCTGCCTTCCAGTGAGTAGAAATGCTCATTATTTAGTGATCAAATCCATTCCTTTGACAAAGGACTGTTGGTGCAGAGAAGTGGTCAGAAACATAAAAGATTGTTTTCTTTCAACAGTAAATTTAAATTCACTTCATCCTGTGATCTCAAAAGACAAAATTGTTCACTCTGCCTGAAACAGGCCCCCAAAAACCAGTGTCTTGGGTTAACAAAGGTGGTGAGGGCCTTAGAACACGTTTGCATCATGCAGCTTGCCACATGCCAAATACTGGCCTTGAGATGTAACAAAGTTTAAGCATAAAGGGCACGTTATTATAGTCCTATGACACAATATGTGCAGTGATGTGAAAAAGAAAGTAACCATCTCTTAAGTCTAATATTTGTATGAGGGAAGACATTTAAAAACACAGATGCAACATATGTAACTAAAACCTGCTAAAGTCAAAGTTCAAAAATCAACAGGAGCCTTAATTAAGACAGTATGTAGCAGCCAGGTGCCGCTGAAGTGTGAGCACCTCAATAAAAGCAAATGTTTTGTGAGCTCGCTGGTCTGCAGCATTAAAGCAGCACATCAGTGTGAATGTTTTCACAAATGAAAAACATTCAGTTGCCAAGAAATGGACACCTTAGCAAATTTACCCCACGGTCAGATCGGGCAATGCTCAGAAACTAATGTTTTGGCCAACACCAAACACAGCATATCAGCATAAACACCTTATCATGTGCCAAGCGCGGTGGTGGAGGAGCATTTTGGCTTAGTTTTTGGTGAACGGAGGATAATGCGTAATGTTTTGTTGTTCATCGGAGGTTGCATTTACTCAATTTTAAGACCTGCTAAGAACCAAATGGTTTGTTGGGTCCTGATAGGTAAAACCTTAGAATTAAAAGGGTGTACAGTACACCTTTGCCACAGAGCAGTATATGAATGACAACAACTCTGGACACTTTTAGAAATCAATGGATACAAAGAGTAACCACTTTGACTGTCTCAGATTTATTGATACAGTTATAAAGCATATTGCACAGGAAGTCCTGACCAACTTTGCCAGATACAGAGACCCACTTTAAAAAAAAAAAAAAAAATTATATATAAAAACAAATCAGCAACAGGAGCTCACAGTCGTAAAAGGAATCCAAACACACTCCAGATTTTGTTCTGTTTTTAAAACCATGTTGCTTTTAAATTAAACAACTTTTCAAGATATACTTACTGGTATGAAAACTTTTTCTGCATACAATCTCTTTATCATGGTTCTGTCCGCGACACAAAAGATGGTAAAGCAAGCGTAACCACGAGAAGCTTATCACTCATTTGTAAATCCAACTCAAAGTAAAATGACGCTAACCAATTAAACATGTGACGCAAAAATATTTGGGTGGTGGAGCAGG